AACTGGATGTCAGAAAGAAGGTGCAACTGGATGTCAGAAAGAAGGTGCATCTGGTTATAAGAACTTAAACAGTTAAACGTGCACGACTTGAGATAATTGTGAGATGAATGACCTTCTGAAAAGTTTCTTAAGCACGTTAAAGTATTGTATGTTAGCTGTATATAGAAAATAGTGCAGTGAAGTGGAGGTTGTGGAGGTAAATGAGGTTGAGGATTGGCGAGCGCCTATTCTGAAAGAGCTCCGTGAGGGAAGCATTAAGTAGATTAAAAGGTTCTTTGAGCAAGATGAAATCATATACAAAAGGTCGTACACAGGACCTCACATCAGGTGTGTCATAGAGGAGGAAGGTTGGTACGTGCAAAGGGAGGTGCATGAAGGGTGTTGCAGCGACCATATCAAAGGCAATATCGCTCATTGCTAAGGTGTTGAGGAAAAGCTGAAACACTTTGTATGGAAAAGCTTCTCTGGGACACGAATTTGAATTTGAAGAGAAAGGGTGTTAGATATGTTGTAAAAGATTGACTTTCAGATATTAATAATACCATTTTGATCTGACAATCGTGTTTTAGCCAAAGTATTTATGTTTGCAGTTTATTTATTTATGCAATCATAACTCCATTATTTTACACTGTAGATAATATGGTTCGTCGTTGAACAGAAAGATCATATTATCGGTTCCTTGTAAAATATAAATTTATTGTTCACAGTTTAGACAAGCAATGAGAACCCTGTTGAAAAAAGACTGTAGTGTATTCTTGATTCAGTTGATCTTTAACTGATGGATTGCACTAGTACTTATGATAAGTATTGAATAGACTGCGGAAGGATAAGATTATAAGATTTAGTGATCGTTGTTATAATCTAGACCTTCAGTGATTGATGCGTGCTCTTAAGCTGTAAGATAATATAAAATAGACATTTACATTTATTATTTATTTATTTGATTTAGCAAGAGTGATTCCTATGATGTTAGGATGACATACTTGCTATTTTGGTAAGTAAGAATAATTATATAGTTTGCTATTAGAAATTATTTACAGTCACTATGTCCCAGTGCGCTGGGTTGATGACATCCCCGAAATGAGCTCAGGAAGGAATATTATGTCAAACCTTGCAGGTGGATAATTATCCGGCGTAATAATTAATGAACTGAGTGGTACTAATTTCAGAAATGAAATAAGTCAATTGTTGATAACCGATTTGATTATACGATTAAAAGTGGTGATTAATTGTGCCATTGGAGTAAATCTGCCAGAAAAAGACAAACTTAAGGTAAGTCGGTATTTGTTGAAGTATACCGACTTCCGAGATGACCAAGAGAGAAAGAACCGATGACCGACTCTGCCAACGGGATGGTTAGTCATATCAAAACTTCTCTATTCAAACCGACTACCACAAAGTTCAAATATCCAAACGTAAAACAAGCTGAAAGCACCTGATTGGACCATCAAAACAAAAGAGCAATCATTGATGTTTCCCAGATCAAAACACACCGCTTCACCGCTTAAATGAAGCAGCTCAACATTAAATACGTTCTTATCCATTTCGAACAAAAAGACAAAAAATGTCGTACTATAAATAGCAGAATTTATGATAGTACGAGGATCTTTTCCTTCTTCTTTGAACACATTGTACATGGGCTTGAGATGATCTCGGTTAAGAATAAAAAAACCGACTCCTGTACTCTTGTGAATATATCAAATAAAATCTAATTTTATATTAATCGTCGTTTAAACACACTCAGCTGTTTGTAATTTTAAGTTGTTAATTTCATACAACAACATCAATTTAATTTAATTTTCAGTAATTAAATAAATTGACGGATGATATATCTTAAACATAGGGAGGTAATTCGGTCAATTAGGTTAATAAATTAATTTAATTAATCATTTAGAGATTTGATTTAATTGATTAAATTGGAGCCAAATGGGGAGAGCAATAATAATATTCTAGTAGGATATATTATTATTTAATTCTAATTAGGATTTTAAGAATTAATTTTATTCCATAAATAATATTCCATGATTAGGAGAATATTCTTTCTAGAATATTACCTAGGGTTATGACACTTGAGAGTCTTCTAGAAGGTGATGTTAGAAGAAATGAATCATGACCTAATAGGGATTAGTATATCGAGTAGAATTAGGATTCCTTAGCCTAATGGGATAAGCCCATATTTGGCACCTCCTTAAGGTCCCTAATGGAGCCTATAAATACACCATGTCCCAACCTCTTGCACACACAATTGAGACGGCCGATTTTTCTACTTCACAAGAGAGGAAAAATTGTCTTGTTTAAGAGTTTGGGAGATTCAATTAATCGCACCACCAAGATTAATTGAAGTAGCTGTCTAGGTAATTCATTAGAAGATCTTAAGGTGCTTTATTCAAACCTTGAAGATCTATTTTTCTGGCCATCACCACCAGCCGACCGCCGCCGCCGCCGCCGTCTGCTGGAAATCGCCGT